CTCTGCAGCCGCTGGGAGCTCTTCTTCTGCCACACGTCGTACTTGGAGTACTTGGCGTGCGAGGGCTTCTGGAAGCTCTCCTGCAAGGGGACAGGATAGCAATGTCAGCCTCACCGCAAGCCTGCCCACCCTCCAGACAGAGTGCCCCTCTCGGAGCTCCGTCCATCCCATGGGAACATTGCCCCGTCCCTGGAAACACTCAAGATCAGGTTGGACAGGGCTCTGGGCAACCCAATCTAATTGAAGATGTCCCTGCTCATTGCAAGGGTGTTGGGCTAGATGACCTTTAAAGGTCCCTTCCAACCCAAACCATTCTATGATACAGCCCACCTCTGTGGAGGAGAGCCACAAAGCCAGGGAGGGGTCTGGAGCACAAGTCTTATGAGGAGCGGCTCAGAGAGCTGGGGTTGTTTAGTCTGGAGAAGAGAAGGCTGAGGGGAGCCCTTCAGCCTCTTCTCCCCGGGCACGGGCGATAGGACAAGGGGAAATGGTCTGAAGTTGCACCAGGGCAGGTTTAGGCTGGACATTAGGACGGGGTTGTCAGGCTCTGGAATGGGCTGCCCAGGGAGGTGGTTGAGTCCCCATCCCTGGAGGTATTTAAAAGCTGGGCAGGCGAGGTGCTTAGGGACATGGTTTAGTGGTGGGATGGCAGGGTTAGGGTAACAGTTGGACTTGATGATCTTAAGGGTCATTTCCAACCTAAATGATTCTATGATTCTATGGTCTTCCACCTTATTAAAAGCTGACTTTCTGCGGGGTGTCGGGCATGAGGTGCCAATGGTTGCCAGCTCCTGAAGACTCTGCAGAAGCAGCAGACCTTGCAGCTGGGATTTGTCTTCTCTCACCCATGGCCTTCCCATCTTTTGCTATTTATTTTGGAGAAGGGCTGCCATCCCAGCGCAAGCCCCCTACCTTGTTGAGCGCCGGCAGCCCAGCCAGGGAGGTGGCGGAGAGGTCACGCTCAGACTTGACGGACTTGGCGCAGTAGGTTTCCAGCAGAGCCAGGTCGCAGCTCCGAAAGCAGCACTCCTCCACAATCCCCCGGTTGATCCGCCGGTTATTTCGTCCCACCGGTCTACCTGCAACGGCAGAGACCCCGGTGTTAGCCACCACCCCGGACTGGACCCTCTTCCACCCTCCACAGCACCCACTCCCTTGCAGGCATCCCTCCACCAGCCCCCAGAGACCCACACACTCCAAAAATAGTGGCACTGCTCCCGGACCGGCCGACACGCGCCCGCAAACCGGCTGAGTTTCACATTAAGACTTTCCCAGACAAACGCCGTCGGTGCCCACAGGGCTCCCCACACGTGCACGGCGCTAATTAAAGGTGCTTTATGTGGCGCAGAGTTATTCCCCTCCTCTCCCTTCGGCACAGGCGGCCTTTTTGGGTGCAGCTACAGCGAGGAAGCTCGAGCCCAGCCCGGCCGCCAGTACTGCACCGATTACTGCGACCATCTCCGATGTTGATCCTGGCAAGCCAGTTTTATTAGAAAGAAGCAGTGCAGCGTTGCAGCTGCCAACCTCCCTCCGTCGGGTTGACGCTCAGGCAGGTGAAACGAACCAAGGCGGCTAAATTTTACCAGATGGGACAGCTCTGAGACAGCTGCAGAAAGAATACAGGCTCCTGCACCCGCCAAGAATAGCTATTAAACTTAATCTTTTAATAAGGGTTCCTCTCCCATTTCTGCCTGCAGAAGGATGCGAAAGCCCGTGTCTGGTGCAGCAACAACCAAATGTATTTCATGTCGCCGCCTAATGACGGCCAAAACTCTCCAGAGGAAAAGCTTACATCAGTTTTGCTGGTTTCCCTCCCCCTCTTGAATTAAAAGAGATGGGCAAATTGGAATTTCTGATGCAAAACAAATTCGCTTGGGAATTGCAACTTCCAAAACGTAAACCAGCCCAAAACAAACCCCAGGCCTTCGCACCTTCGCACACGGTGTGCTATGCACTTGTGCTGCAGTGGGGTTTGCAGCAGGGGCTGTGAGCTCCTCTTCCCAGGGCAAGGTGCTCCAAGGTCGGGGGGCAGAGGCCGGCACCGGTGGTGCTTGCAAACGGGATCCGGTACCACATCCCAGATGGAAGAATTTGGGCATGGGAAAAATCTGAGAGCTAGCAGTGGAGGCACAATGCCTAACACTGCTCACGCTACCGTGCTCAGCCGAGCCCCCACCTCCCAGCAGGAACACACAGAACGGTCCACGTTGGCCCAGTACACAACCCAGGATCCCCCTAAGTGCCCTGGATGGAGCAGGCACTCCAGTATTTGGGCTTGGTGAAGGTTTAAGGGCCATGGCTTGCAAGGTGCTGACCAGTTTCCCCAGGGGGTACCCCACCTAGGTGCCCACCCAAAGTGCCTTGGGCCAAAGTACAAACCCACAGGAGTTTTCTGCACTTCGAGTGCAGCCCCACGTGGGAAAAGCAGCCCCAGATGTGCAGTGCAGCCTTGTGTGAGCAATGCAGATGTGCACGTTCAATGCCGCCCCGCATGCACAACACAGCCCCACGTGTGCAACGCTGGCATGCAGAACCTTGCAACCGTATCTCACCATGGGCTCCACAATAGCAAAGCCCCCCAGCAGCAGGGCACCCACTCCCCATTAAAATCAGCCATGCCCCCACCGGTGGGGAGCCCTCTGCTCCACGCTGCTGCGTTGCCGCTGCCCTCAGAGGTCGCAAGAGCAAGCACAGCAAGCAGGGCGATGGGGCAGCTGACGCACACCGTGCAGCCCGCCTTCGGGAGTCATTCCACATGCTCCATTTTCCACCTTCACCACCCACCCCCCCACACCACCTCCCTCCTTTTCTTTTTCTTTTTCTCTGGAAAAATCTCAGGCACGACCTTTCACCAGTCCCACGGGAAGGTAAGAAGGATGCTTCCCTCTTAGTAAAGGCTCAGGAAAGGGAGCACCGTGAGGAGTTTAATTTTCTCTCTGCAAATGCCTGTGGCCAACAAGCCTGCTGGATCGGGCCCTCCCTTTACAGGCAGGGCGGGTGCATGGGGTGCCCACAGCCATACGAGCAATGCCAGTGCAGGCAATCCAGCTAGCAATGCCTGAGGGAGACAGGGGAGAGCAGCCAGCCTGGGGCCAGGTACCCATATTCTTCTAGGCATGCAATGCCCAGCGAGGTCCATGGGAGGCACATGCTGCCACCAACACCCCGGCACTGCATATATAGTCCCCGCTCGGCTCCTATCGGCCCCAGCACCCAAACCGGCCTGCCCGGCAGGTTGCTGAAGCATTCGGCTGCTCCAGAAAGACCTCCTGAGCACAGGCAGAAGGGAAGTTTTAGAAGAAAAAGAGAAAAAAATTCAAGTCACCCCCTCTTGCTAGCACATCCCC